GGTTGTATGCTCCAGTCTTCTTCAAGGACACATGGCACAGTGGATAAAAGGCATTGGTTAGATCCAGTGACAGGACCCAAAGAGTGTGAATTCAATACCTGGTTAAGGCAGTGGAGAACTTTCAGAGAAACAACAAGAACCGATATTAAAATGATTGGTGTTTTCTCCATATCCATAGAAATTAATATTATGAATGTGTATGCTTATAAAGCTCTGTAAATTTCAAAGTTAGTTATTCTAAAATTCCTTAATGAGGATGAAACAATCACAGGTACTTTAATTTAACTTAATTTCTATAATTGAATTGAAGTTTTTAGCTTCTGGAGAACTTGGATAGGGAAATTAACAGGAAATAACTGATAACTGACATCCATTAGACATGGCACGTGGAACTAGAACATTCTACCCCAGTGAACAAAATAAAGGGTTCAGTTCGAAATTCCAGCCACCTGAAGAAGGCTGGAGTGTACAACAGCCAAAACGTTGAGGATAAATATGGCAACAAAGATGGGGACAATAGTCCGAATAATGTAAATAATGTACAGAAATCCGAAGTCTAAAAACCCTTGCTTTACATATCATAAAATTTTCAAGTACATATGATAAAAAAAAAAAATAAATAAAATGGATAAAATTTTAATTTACTAATACATTTACATTTGCTTTTTCTTCCTTTCTCTCTTCTTTCTTCATTCCCCCCCCCCTTTCTATTACACTCAATGTCATGTGTTTGTTTATTTTTTAAAATAATAATGTAGGTCCTTTAGTTTTTGAAAAAATTAAAAAAAAACCATTAGGTGGTCATTTGATAAAAAAATCACATGAGGATACCCTAAGGTTGAAACCAAGGTAGGAGTTCAACTGATCTCCTAATTTTTAAAGTATATAAACTGTCCGATTCTAGTAGTCATATCTGTCCGTTTTGTGACATTGTCCAACCAGTCCTCTCTTACATTCACCTTCAACGGTGCCTTGCATGATGGCCTTGCACAGGCTGTCGTGCCTTGTAACGTGACCAAACTACATCATTTTTCTCCATTTGACATTAGCGAGAATAGGTTCCTGGTGCCCCACAAAATTTTCTACACTTTTCCGCACAAACTCATTGGTTTTTGTTTCCAATAGAAAATGCCAAGGAGTTTTCTCATGCATTTATTCTCAAATGTTTGAATTATTATAATTTACAATAATACAAATATAAAAAAATTTGACTATCTTTAGGACACATGGCACAGTGGATAAAGGCGTTAGTGAGATCCAGTGACAGGACCCAAAGAGTGTGAGTTTAATACCCACTTTTGTGGTGAACTTGGATATATATATTAACAAGAGATAACTGACAAATGACATCCATTAAAACATGGCATTGTGAAACTAGAACAGTCTACCCCAGTGAGCGAAATAAAGGGCTCAAATTGACATTCCGACCAAAACAAGAAAAAAAAAGTGTACAACAGCCGAAACGTTGTAATAAACATGGTAACAAAGATGAGGATAATAGTCTGAATAATGTAAATAGTGTACATAATACCTCATCTCAGAAATATAGACAGATACTATAAAATAGGTCTATAACTATACCGGGACTCATGCATGCAATTACAAGTAATCCATAATGATATTTTAAATTTTAAAATCATATTTGTTTTTGACATATGAAATTTTTGAAACTGTTTCTAAATCTTGGATTGTCTTTCAATCATTCCGCTCTGCCTGCTTTCCTCTTCCGCTGCACCACACCATTTGGGAACCACCGGTTTAAAATCAGGTGCATTTTAAACATGAAAATAAGCTCTTTTCCCTTGGAAATTCTCTGCTTTTTAAACCGCTTTTTATACTCACTAATGATATATACATGAACGATTACAGTAATTCATTGACAATCAAAGATTTCCACTAACAGATAATGGCAACAGAAATTCTAAAGTTCTTTAGAACTAAATTTTACAAAAGTAGGTTTAGAAAGATGAAAAGGAAGCTTTTCGATGCAAAAAGACCAAAAAAGAGAAAAATGAACTAACCTGATGCTTTGATCAAATGATGCACTCAGTAACTGACCATTGTCCCGTGAGAAAGTGACACACGTTACCCCTTTAGCATGGGCACGTTCAAATTTCCTCAGGCACTGACCAGTAAGAAGTTTCCAAACCTAAAACAAAAAGGTAAAATGTATCAAACTGATAATTGCATGGACATGTTGTCTTCATTATTTTTAATGCTGAAATCCACTCAGTAGAATGCTCAAGAGCCATAAAGGCAGAGGGTTGCTGTTAAAATTGTAATAACAAATGAAGTCTGTGATATGAACGAAAAAGGTGATAGGAAGTGACGTTTATGAGAATAAGGAGGATAGATAACAAATGACCCTTGATTTAAAGATTATAGTGTCCAGGGAAGTATCCCCACAGGAGTTTTTCCCCCCTACAACAGGGAAAAAGCTGAGGGAGATTTTCTCATTACAATTGGAAAATGGAGGAAGTTGAAGGTTTTCAACTCCATGGAAATAACATGTTTCTTTTTTATAATTTCACATCAAGCAGAGTTTGGTTTGTTTTCTTTTGTTTTACAGAATCAACCTCAGTGGATTATTTAATGCTGACAATTTTTATTGCTGGTAAAAAATTTTTTCCTTCAAAAATCTGGTAATATTTTTTCTCCAAAAATGTATCGCTGGTAATATTTCTTTTTAAAAAATGTCTTGTTGGTAATAATTTTTACAAAGTATTTCTAGTATTAAAACCTATTTTTACACTTTCATACTGTTTTGACCCCACTTTTTTTTGGGGGGGGGTAACTATTTACTCATAGTTGGGGACCAAACAGGTGCTACCACCTCAGGTCAGGTTAGACTTGGGAACAAAGGCAATTAAGAGGTGGTTCTATGCTCCTCAAAACCTCCTGATCAGAGGCCTTGCTGCCAGACGTAGTTTATCATCTTATCCAGGACAGTCAAGCAAAGTCACGAAGCCATTCAGATGCAAAGAATCTGAGGAAAAAAATCACTATTAAAGAGAGAGGACAATAAAAGAACAGGTTTCAAGGAGAAAGAAGATGATCGACATTACCTTTAAATATTTTTAAGCTCAAAGTTGAGTGAAAAAAGCAAGAAGCCAGAAGGGAGTTCCACAAGTGAAACGTGCAAGAGAAGAAACTGTTAGCATAGAATTTACAGTTGCATCTAGCAATTTCAACTGTAAAATTAAGAGGCCTTGCTGCTAATTTGGTACTGCACTTAAAATCAAAGTCTAGGTACCAAAGAGGAAAGCTCTTCAGAAAAATTACCATGAATATTTATAGAAAAGGCACAGGGAAGATACATTACTATAGTGAGAAAGTGACTGAAGCCAAGGTGCCAGGTCAAAACCAAAAACATTACAGATTCTTCTTTGGATTTTATCAAGAATCTCTAAATACACAGCAGAAGCACAAAACCAATGTGGGAGCAATATTCAAAGCAAGGACAAAGAGTGAGATTTATAAATATGCAAGATGGGCACCTCGAGGCTGTGTAATGGTTAGCAAGTAGTGAGGTCACCAACCAAGTAGTGAGTTCAATCCTCACTGGGTAAACCATACTTTTGGCCTTGTGCCACATCTAAGCTACGCTTGGAAAATCACTATATTTTTTTTGAAATATTTTTCACCCCAAGCAAGACGGGAGTGTCACTAGGGGTTACAGAAAGTGGGAGCAAAAGTAAAGAGACGTGATAGAGGAAAGGATGAAGATAAGGACAGGGAATAGATCAAGGCATCTGGAGATGTCAATTGACATTGCATTTGAATAGTTGGAGATTATAGCTATCAGGAAGCAAGTAAGAGGAAGGGAGTTCCACAGACTGGAAATGCGAGACATGAAGTTATTGCAGTAGAAGAGACGGCTACATTTAACTGTTTCGACAGTGAAAGGGTGGGAATGAGATGCCAACCTAGTGGCGCGTTTAAATCCATACAGTTTGGGAACTAGAGAAAATAGCTTGTCAGAGCAATTACCATGAAAGTATTTGTAGAAAAGACAGAGGGAGGCAATAGTACATCTGTGAGAAAGCGACTGTAAATGAGATGGCCAAATCAGGGCCAACCACATTGCATATCTGTCTATGGATTTTGTGGAGAACCCTAAGACAAACAGCGGGGGATCCAGACCATATACGACAGCAAATGGGCAAATGGTTGATTTATGCAAGATCTGGCGAGAAAAATTTCTAACACAACACAGTCAACCATAAATTCGCAAAGATACCAAAGAGAAAAGCTCATTAGAAAATGACAAAAATATCCTAGCGGTAACAGTCTGAACCTTTTCAACACCTCTTTGTGTTTATTTATCAATAACATTGAAATATCCATTACCTTGATTTTACCATCTTGAGATCCTGTGGCAAGCATTTCCGAATCACGACTGAAACACATACACAAAACTGCATCATCCATCATCATAAAGTTATCCTGAAATAAAAAAAATCATTTTGAGGGTATATCAACAGCTACAGTGGTCAGATGAAAAAAGAAATGATGGAAAATGGTTGGAACTGACAATGTATCTTGCAAGAGAATTCTTTCTCTTAAAGTGACTGGCAAGATATCTCGACATTATGATGCCATACAATGACGAGTCATCTATTTAAGCCTGGACTGAAAATAATTTCATTTTATCTAGTTTTGATCTCTAAATATGGTTTGAGATATTTTTTTGTGGCAATACTCATGCTTACAACTCAGTTTGTGGGTTTTATATGTCAACTATTGTTAGGTCAAATAATATTGAAAAATATATTAAATAAAGTATTGCTTTCATCTTATTTCTCTTGCTTTTCCACCAAGTAGTAATAGTCTTAAGTTGTCTGAATTTCTTAGATGAAGCCTTGGCAATTATTATTCATTTTTCACTAGTATTTCTTTCATCTTATTTCAATTGCTTTTCCACCAAGTAGTAATAGTCTTAAGTTGTCTGAATTTCTTAGATGAAGCCTTGGCAATTATTATTCATTTTTCACTAGTATTTCTTTCATCTTATTTCTCTTGCTTTTCCACCAAGTAGTAAGGGGATTCTGCTTTTTCATTCCAGATTATTCTTATCCCAACTATAAATACCTATTCTTACCCTCTTGTTTGTGGATATTCCAATGCATCCACTAAATTATCAATCAATATTCTTTCAACAACACATCCATAACTTCATCAAACCAAACAACAGAAATAAGATTATCTCCCCTTCCTTTCTTGATTATATTCATTTTTTCACTACATTCAAGTATCTTGATTTCTCAAACATTTCCACCAGGTCACCCTTTTCTTGAATAATTATTCCAATTATTGCCATATAGCAACAACTATGTGAAACAGAGATTAATAAAAACTTCAGGTCTGAACCAGATTATCAATTGAATTTTGAGGAATTTGATAGTAAATCTTTCTTACAAATAAACTATTTTTTCTCCCTTCCTTTCTTGATAATTGGACATTCAAATCTTGATACATTTTGCCTGTAGAGAAATTCCATAATTATTAAATCCATCCACAACCTGTGAAACAAGAACTGACCAAAAACGGGTGAGAAACAGGGCAAATTCCATTTTGGGCTTTGACCAAATCTGAAAAAAAAATTTTTTTACCTGGACAAGATTATGTGAAACTAATGAATAATGTTTCTTCCTCATTTGCAATGCATTCCAGATCCTAAAATCATTAACTGACCATGCATTTACATTATACATATAATGGCCTATTCTATCAAACTGAAAAAGAAATTCAAGATTACTGACCACTGAATAATGTTTCTTCCTCATTTGCAATGCATTCCTATAGTAAAATCATTAGCAATGCATTTACATTATACATATAATAGCCCTATTCTATCACTAATGCTTGTATTCATTCCTGACCACTGACAATCCCTTTCTTCCTTATTTTCAATGCATTCCTATAGTAAAATCATTAGCAATGCATTTACATTATACATATAATAGCCTTATTCTATCAGTAATACATGCATTCCTGACCACTGATAATCCCTTTCTTTCTCATTTGCAATGCATTCTTATAGTAAAATCATTAGCAATGCATTTTCATTATACATATAATAGCCCTATTCTATCAGTAATGCTTGTATTCATTCCTGACCACTGACAATCCCTTTCTTCCTTATTTGCAATGTACTCCCGTAGTAAAACCATTTGCAATGGATTTACATTATACAGATAATAGCCCTATTCTATCAGTAATGTTTTTATTCATTCCTGACCACTGACAATCCCTTTGGACATTTGCAATGTGATCTATAATAAAATTATTTACAATTACAATGCACAACATGCTGATTAATTGCCAAATATGCAATATATATATAAAAAAAAAAAAAAAAATAGAAATTAACATCTTCCCCCTACACCTCTAAAAATATTTACTTTTTTCATACATAATGTAGTCAAGAGGTGGAGTAGTTATAATGTCAGTGGGTGATAATAAATGTGAAACCTTACCAGATCTCAGCAGTTAAAAGCCATTTTCTTTTATGATTTCTCTCCTAACAAAAATTTCTTTTGTCCCTATAAATACTACCCATGATATTCCAGGTTATAAAATGTGGGAAAATGAAATAAAATTGATAAATAAAATAATAATAATGAACAATATGTTCATTACCTTACATGAAAAATGCTGTTAGGTGGCACTGTTGAAGCCTATAAAAAAGACAACAATTTTCTACCTCATCCCTTTTCTCTAAGATGCAAACCACATGGTAATTATATTCCCACTGGGGAATATTAGTTTCCCTCCGTCCACTGACAACTCCAACAATATCGTTTGAACGTGTTTTGGCAGCTGTATTCACAAAGTCAGTTAATTGGTTGTTCCAACTCGGTGCAAAGCTGACTTGAGCTCAACCATTTTAACCATTGTTATCCTAATTTACTTCTGAACCAAAAAGGAAAACGGACATACCCAAGAGACATACACAACTTGTCAGTATAAAAAGAATAAACGTCCGTAGTAGAAAATGGAGTTATTATATATGTTTCTATCTTCTTTATTTACATATTGAACATACACCTAAATAAATGCACACAAACACGCAACCTCTTAACTTGCACAAAAAAAAAAAAAAAAAAAAAAAAAACAGTTTTTTGTTATACGTGTAGTGTTCTTGTATTTGTATTAAGCTAGTTTTTGTACACAATGAGGTTGCTGGTCACACGCCCAACCACTTAAGTGACATTCAACACATTGATGAGACATGTTGAATCAGGTTTACACCATAAATTAATTTGTCATAGGCTGCATGCAAACATAGAGATTAATCTTATCAGTAACCCCCACCCCTGAACAGACACATTCTGGATTTATTGCAAAAAAACAGAGCCTAGTATAATTAGCCATGGTTCAGCAGTTCAACTCTTAGATGTATTCAATTTAAGATGTCTTTGCATAGTCCTAAAGATATCTTGGAGAGATCGAATCAAGAACAAGGAAATGCTAAGATATTCAATTTTTTTTTTTTTTTTTTTTTGTTTTAACCCAAGCAAGGCGGGAAGCCACGAGGACGCAAGGGGTTACAGAGAATTTGGAGCAAGATCAGATAGGAGTGATAGAAGAAAGGATGAGGAGAAGGGTAGTGGATAGATCAAGGCAACTGGAGATGTCGATTGACATTACATCTAGAACTCTTAGTGTAATGGTGGCAAGTAGGCGGATACAGCTCACCATTCATATCCTGTGTAGTGATAATTGGAACAAAAATATTCTCCCACCTGATCACAAACGGCAGCATATATGTTCCGTACGCAAGATTTATTTTCTTGACCGGAAAAAGAAACATGGACGCCCCCAGCAAGCTTATATTGCGAATGGTCACGTATCCTCACATGGACAGTCTCGTAAAGCCACGGAAAGTGGATTCACGCATGCAAATGAAGTAAGGCAGAAAAGAACATAAAAAATGCTGAACGCTGGCGTCTCGGCAGTTAGAGATTTGAAGGAGTCGTTGCAGGTTTACACCAGGCGGATCAAGAAAATATTGTGTTTTGTTCAGAATGTTTGGTCAGACGTTGCGGATTGCAACAACTACATCCTGCAATTATCTGAGAGTCACCCAGCTAAAGTTGCTCTAACTGGATACGTCAAGGATGCAAAAGACCAAAGGATTGCCCTAAAATGACACAGTTAAAGAACTGAGAAAAAGAAACAGCAACTGGTCCCAGGCTCTGTGACTTGCCCAGAATAAATCTTAGGGAAGGAATATTAGAACACTTTGCCATGTGAGGGTTAGAGAAACAAAGCAGCGCCATAAAAGCGCAACTGGGAAGTATTTCCTAACAAACTGCCTGGTTCTCTGTGACATGCAAATTCTATAAACCTTAGTGTAATGGTGGCAGATAGGCGGATACAATTCACTAGCCATATCCTTTGATCAACTGACAGTCATACAACCAAAGCTACTCAGAGCTGGATACCACAAGACTGCAAAAGACCAAGGGGTCGTCCTAAAATCATACAGCTCACTACAGTTAAAAAACAGAGAAAAAGAAATGCAAACTGATTCCGGGCTCTGTGACTTGCTCAAGATCAATCTAAAGGGAGGAAAATTGTGGCCTTTTACTGTGCAACAGCCAGAGGAATAAGGTAGCCCCATATAAGCATAATTATTTCCTACCAAAGAAGTTGGTTGAGTCAAAAGACAACCAATTCTTCTATGAATACTGAAAATCAATGCTAAATCAACGAATACCAAAATATTTCCATATAAGGAAGCTGCTAATCTCACCATTGCTGTTATCTATTCCTCTTCTTTGAACAGTTCTGCATTATTCTTTGACAAAGGTTTAACAATCATCCTTGTTTTGGAACTCAAGAAATTATACTGCTTGAGCTAGCACATTTCATCAAAGGCTCCACCTATGTACTTAACTGTCTGGCTCTCTATGAGCATTATAGAGGAACTGATGTGCCATAAAATAATATTCAGTCCTAATCAGATATTTGGCTATTTTAAAGTTGTAATAATCACTCTTTTGTATAAGAGTTGATACCATCTCCAATCAATCTTAGCCATGAATATTTTATGTTCAGATAGGAGATGAATTTGGTAAGTTTTCAATTAACAAAATAGTTTTGCCAGGTTGTAACTTATAGAATCAGGAACAAGGAAGTGCTAACATGTAAAAATTCTAGAAACCTTATTGTAATGGTGGCAGATAGGTGAATACAATTCACTGGCCATATCCTCTGATTAACTGACAATTGTTCAGTCAAAGCTGCTCTAAACTGGATATCTCAAAGCTGCAAAAGACCAAGAGGTCAGCCTAAAATGACATGACACACTACAGTTAAGAGAAGAACAGAAAAACAAACACCAACTGGTTCTAGACATCGCAAACTTGCCCAGGAAAAATACAAGTGGAGGAAAATTGTATTCCCTTTGCTGTACAATGGTTGGAGGAACAAAGGAGTAGAGGTATAAAAACCAGAGGAAAAACAACTTGTCAGAGGTCTTTAATGTAACTTATATATATATGTAAAAGTTTGAAGCCGCTCCAGAATTAGCATGAGATGAACTTGACAGAATAGTAAAACAAAAAATAAAAGCTCTTAGTGTCATTGAAAAAAAGGAATGGAATCAATTATCCAACTCCTACTTTGAGAAACTTTTGCCAACAAATGCCAAATGTTTGTGCTGCAGTAATCAAAGCTAAAGGAGGATATTTTGATGACAACAAAATTTAATCATAAAATGCTTTTTTTCTTTTTGTTAGAATAAAAATTCTAATAAAAATTATGTCTCACTTTTTTAACCCTGTATAATAATTTTCTCTCAATTAAAGTATAAAATTACAACTTTTGCATCAAATTTTAAAAAATTACCAAGACTGACCTGAAACTTTTGAAGTGTAGTGTGCGTGTGAGTGTATATAATTATTTATTTAAAAATATGATTCCAAATCGCGACATGATCATATTTTTAAATAAATAATTATATTTATGCTCTACTTTTGTATCAAGCACTATTTTTTAAAAATAATAACTAAAATACTAAGGGACTTTGGATTATTTACCTAACCAGTTCCTTCCTATTTTCTATATATTTTCACATTATATATATATATATATAAAGTTTTAGTGTGCTTTAGTTGATTGTTTTGTGTTATGGCTTATCAACGCCTCATTTTAGCATTTATTTATTTGCTAGCTAAACTTGGAAGGCCATGAGAAAAGTTATTCAATTCTTAAACAGGTTCTATTTAAGTTACCTTAACAAAATTGAAGCTGTTTTGGAGAAACAGAATCAGGAACGAGGAAGTGCTAAAATGTGCAAATTCTCAAAAGCGTAATGGTGGCAGATAGGTGAATACAGTTCACCTGTAACTATCTAACAGTCATCCAGTAGTGAATGAATGAGAACCAATGTTTTCTACTCTTATTAAGTAAGAAAGGGATCCGTTCTAATGTTTCTACGTAGTTATATACTATTCAAAAAAAATTATTTTAGATTCACATGCAAAAACCTGATAATAGTAAACAAAATGTTCTGTTATTTTTTTTACATTTGTGAAAGAGTAGGATTCGTTTTGTATGAAAGAGTAGGATCAAAAGCTTGGCTTCCTAGGGAAGTGTCAGATAAAAGCTCCATTTTGTATGTAAGTTGAAACAAGTTTAATTTTACTTTTCATTTTTACTGTTAATAATTCACCTGAACTACATCCGAGGTTCATCATTAGGGGAAGGCCCCTTTGAATCAACAACAAATAGCAAGAACTTACCTTGATGGTCTTGCTCAGTTGAGTAGGGTACTTTTCTTCCTCCTGCTCTCGAACTGCTGCCTTACCCCGGAAGACATCAATAGTCGTACCTGGAAATTTAGTTTGAAGAGTTTTTATGAGAGAAGGCATCAGAAATGTTTTATTATCAGAAATCACCAACTAAAAAAAACAAAAATAAAAAGTACGCTCTCTCAAATAGAGGTACCAACTAAAAATAATGTTTGAAGTAATTATTTATTTATTTATATATATATATATATATATATATATATATATATATATATATATATATATATCCTATAGCGATATCAGCTGTCAGCTAATATCTTGCTATGTACTCACTTGCAATGTATCACAGAAATCGCTTTGACAATTATGTCATGGTAAAGAAGGTCACTGTGTGAAGCCAGATCATGATTTCTTGATTAATTACTTTTTTAGATAAAGCTGACATGACAAAAAATGATTTTCTGAGGACAGTGGGTCACTAACAGCTGAACAGAGAAAGACACAGAGAAGGACAGAAGACTCCATGCTGCTATGCAAAAGGAAGATGCTCATTAGGTAGTTTTTCCCCCCTTGACTACCCTCACTTCTACCTCATTCATTTACAGACAGAATAAAATTTGCCAACTGCTACAACCATGTCTCATGTTTTACTTTTAAAGGTAACGATCTGGCCAAAGAGTTATTTTGTAAGCCACTGACTACAAGAAGCTTCACCCTGTGAATGACCATGACAACAATAAATAATGTCACTTTTTTTACCACTGGCACTCTTCATTGTGTGCTATATATATATATATATATATATATATATATTCTCCAGCATGATATTCTTTTTTGTAGTTTAGTGCTAACAGCAAGCAGAAATATTTCTCCTCCGATGATGGCCATTTTGGTCATAAACTAGTCGAGAATCTAAATGGAATAATAATAAAAAAAAACGAAAAGAATATTAATCTACAATCCAGTGTGTCTAAAGATTTTATTTTTTTTTTTTTTTATTTCAAAATATATATATATATATATATATATATATATATATATATATATATATACATATACATAAGCTTAAAAAATAGTCTTATTTAAGCTAGCTCCTTCAGAGGGTTCTTGATTGAGCCTTTGGCTTGTTCAGGAGTTTGAGAGTCCCTAAGTCTTTGCATATTCTCAACATTGGAAGCTTTCCTGGCTGCAATTTGACCTTGGATTTTATTTGCACAGGATTTTCTTTTCCTTGCTGTAAGCTTGGCTCTTTTGATTGCTATCTGGTCCTCTGTTAGCAGAGCTTTATTTTTACGAGGCATTCAATAATTTTTTGATTGCTCATGTTACAGAAATTTTGGATTCCCAAGTTTGTTTTGTCTTTTTGTTTTTGTACGATTACAATCATTGAATGATGTACAATTGAAGAAACATTAATTTAACCTTAAAACAAAATGTACAATTTTGTAGTGGATATTTACATTTTCCAATGTAACTGTGCATAATAAATATTTATTGTTCTACTTTTGTATTGAGCCATGTTTTAAATTAAGGTTTTGAACGTTGAAATTTTATTCTTCATTCTTTTACACTTGGATGGATGGATATATATATATATATATATATATACATACACATTGGATAACGCTATTATGCAACTATGTTTTTTTGGTGATAAAAAGGAAAGTAATATCAATATAGTGTTAGAAGTTATACAACATATAATATGTGAGAATATAGATATCTGAATAATGTTTTGAAAAGTTGGGAATTATATTATTGATTTAAACTGAAAAAAAAAATGTTGGGTAATGGTATTATGCCTCTTAGTTATTTTGAGCTTAGAAATAGTTTTTAGTCATCAATAATAAGGATAAATTATATTCTTTAATATTACATAAATCTAATCTTTCAGTTCACATCCCTATGTGACCCCCTTTGGCAGTCAATACTTTTATCAATCTTTTGTCCATTGAAGTAGTCATTTTGAATTGTAGATAGAGTTATGTTGGAGATCACATTCAATATTTGTTGTTTCAGCTTTTCTTTGTTGCTGTATTGCTTTCTTCCTTCGTATAGCTTCTTCTTGACAATTCCCCAAAGGTTCTCAATGCAGTTGAGGTCTGGAGATTGAGGTGGCCATTCCCTAAATCACTGCTTTTGCATCCTTTTCGCCATAGAAATGCCTTTGTTAACTTAGATGAATATGATGGGGTATTGTCTTGCATGAAAATCATCTTGGATTTGAAACTTTGTTATTTTTTATTGTACCAGGGTATAAACTTTGAGTTAATAAAATCTGAGGTAGACTATTTACATTATTCGGACTATTGTCCTCATCTTTGTCATCATATTTATTACATTTCAGCTGTTGTACGCTCCGACACATATGCTAGGCCACAAAAATCTCCTGAGCCGACCAAGCATAGAAATGAATACAATATGGGAACCAGTAATAAGGAGTACCGGAGAAAAGCAAAAATAACAACGAAAATTGCAATATTAGCTCTGGTAAAAACATGTAATGATAACAGTAAAAATTGCAATATGATCACTGGTAGAAAATGATTGCCGAGACATTAGGTTTATAATACCCAGAAAATCATACACAGATGTACTCAAGGACACATGGCACAGTGGATAAAGGCATTAGTTAGATCCAGTGACAGGAGCCAAAGAGTGTGTGTTCAAGTGGAGAACTTGGAGAGGTGAATTAACAGGAGATAACTGATAACTGACATCCATTAAAACATGGCACGTGGAACTAGAACAGTCTACCCCAGTGAGCGAAATAAAGGGTTCAGTTAAACATTCCAACCACCTGAAGAAGGGCAGAGCTTACAATGGCCGAAATGTTGTAATAAATGTGGTGACAAAGATGAGGACAATAGTCCAAATAATGTAAATACTGTACATAATACCTCATCTCAGAAAATATAGACAGATACTGATGGGCCTAAATGTTGTAATAAATATGAGGACATGTATATAGCGTATAATGTAAATAGTGTACATAATACCTCATCTCAGAAATAGAGACTGGAATGGTGTAATAAATATGGCAACAAAGATGAGGACAATAGTCCGAATAATGTAAATAGTGTACATAATACCTCATCTCAGAAATATAGACAGATACTGAAGGGCCGAACATTGTAATAAATATGGTAACAAAGATGAGGATAATAATAATCCGAATAATGTAAATAGTGTACATAATACCTAATCTCAGATGACAAGATACTGAAATCTAAGGTAGTTTTTACTATTCATTTTCAGTTCATCTTCTATGAAGAAGGGTCCAACGATGGTATCACTGATGATTGCTGCCCTGAACATAATTCCTCCCCCACCTTGCTGATGTCTGTAGTAGGTTGGGCACTGGTGAAGGCATCAGGACCATCGAGATTAGCTCGACATTCATCTATGAATAAAATGGAGGTGAAATCACATTTCATGTAGGCATCTTTTCCTGATGTTAGTTTTTGATAAAGATGGGCTTGATCGGACATTATAACAACTTTTGCAAGCTCATTCAAGATATTATTCCTTGTAGCCCTGTTCGTTCTAGCTACACCAATATCTTGAAATATCTTCCTGCTAGATCCTAACAGATTTTTCTTCAAATGCCAAGTTATCAGTGGTTCTCTCACTTCATTATCTTCGTTTTACCAGCATCAGATCTCATTTTTCTGGTACATGTTAGAAATCACTTTCATGATCATGCGCACATCCCTCTTAATATCGCTTGCAGTGACCCCTTCCGCTAAAATATTTACAATTTTCTTTTCTTCTTTACTAAAATCTTTTCCTTTTCCCAATCTGATGTTTTCTATCGTTTCAAAAAATATGAAAATCAAAAATACAGCGTTCAGAGCATCGGTACTAACCAGGCTCGACATTGTTTAACCTTAGTGATCATATAGGTAACCGGTGTTTCAATGTGATCTGGCCATAAGCAGAACACTCAAGGAATTTTTGTTGGGTAATAAATTCTATAAAACAAAGAAGATATCTTCTTTTGTCCATTCACCAGAGTGCATTTTTAATGCCATCATGTCTTTCCTGATTTTCCTTTTATTATCTGCAAAATTAATTCACAGGAGAATAGAGACCCTACTCCACCCTGCTATTTAACCCATAGATAGGGGGACCAGTGTATAGTTTTGAATCTGAGGATAGTTATTACTGTGGATGAAATAAAATGCCATAGTGATTGCATCTATCACCAGAGGTCGGTACTGCTTCGATGCACGTTGTAGAGCCCACCAAAATGTTTGAAGATCAAAGAATGATTTCTCCCTGTTAAGGCATTTTCAATTTGGGTGTTGGGTATTGGATGGGGGCAAAATGGAAGATCAAGGAATGGAGAATGATCTGGAGATTGTTATTACATAGCATAGGATGGGACATCATGATTTCTTAAAAGAAATGTCCTTGAAGAAAGAAATGTTACCTGGAGGCAGGAGTCCTTGATGCTGTTGCCACTTTAGTGCCTGACCCAGCAGAGCCAACAAACGGGACGGTGGCACAACATTTACTTCTCCAGACAATGCTTGGGCAATGGCCGCACGTTTTTTCTCTTTTGTTTGACCTTCTAAATAAGCCTAAACAATGAAGGAAAAAAAAATTTATAAAAACGTCATAGGTATTCAGATTTATTTAGATGCAAGAATGGAAATAATAGAAAAGTTCATAAATGAAAGAACCAGGGACGGGGAGTTCAAACCATAGGGGCTACAGACAAAAAAAAAAAATGGGGAAAAAAACAAAAAAAAGGGAAAAGAGAGGGAAAACAAAAGAGAAACAAACCAATAGTCCCCCCCAAAAAAAAAGGAAAGGGGAAATCAACCCCAGGAGTCCCCACAGATGGATGAGGTCCACATACAAAAAAAAAAAAGACAGAGGGAAACAAACCATAGCCTCCTCCCTGATGGATGGGGCACATTGTCTCCCCCACCCAAAAAAAGGAGAGGGGAAATGAACCACAGGAGTCCCCCCCAGGTGGATGAGGCCCACATGCAAAAGAAAGATGGGGTGGGGGCAAACGAACCATAGACAGCCCTGCAGATGACCCCACAGGTATTAAAAAAAAGAAAAAAGCAACCATAGCTCATTTTCTTAATGTCCCACTAGACTTCTATATCAGTAACTTTATAAATCATTAGCAATCTACACACATTTTCTCCCCACCAGATTTATTTAACCTGTACATCGGGGGTGATCATAAGAGCATTAGATCACCTACTTGGATTTATTATCAACAAGCACAAATGTATCAACATAGGCTACGAAGATGACACTGTGTTGATGATAGAATAAAAAAAGAAAACTAAAAGAAAGGGGGCAATCCAAGATATGAATTACACAATAGGGACAACGAAAGTAAACAAGTGCGGAATTTCAAGCATTTGTTTAGTGTATTAATAGATGATGGAAAGTGTGATAAAGAAATTTGGAGATGCACTGAAATAGCGAGAGAGATTTTTCAGAGGCTGAAAAACTTTAGAAACAAAGAAAAGAGGCCGCAACATCTATATAATGTGTAGCCTGCGACATGATCGTGAATGCTGAACAATTTTGTCATAAAATACCTCACGGGGATCAAAATAGGACCGAGCCAACATGTTTTCCAGATGGACGTATCTATCGGGCTGGGTCTGCTTCAACATGATCATTGGGTCAGTTTGACGAAGCAACGAGCGAGCAGCTCCCAACTCACGAAGCTCGATCAACTCCAGAACAATCTGAAAAAGACAAAAAAAATAAATGAAACACTATTTATATGACATTTCTGAGATGTAACGCAACATTGTATGTGGATTCAAATGCTATATTTATAATAATCTTAAACTTTGAATCCACATACAATGCAGTGTAGCCCCATGAAACCCAGACATTAAAAAAAAAAACAAAAAAAAAAAAAAACAGTATTGAACAATTCATAACTTTTTGCACCTGATAAATGGGAAAGCCATGAAACTCTGAGTCATACTGTAAATGTAGGTATATGTGTAATTATTAATATCTACTTTACAGCTACGTTGAGCAGTTTTGTCTACAAACACTGATTAAATAGTTATTTGCTCACCTGTATGTGTACGTAATCGTTCACATATATGATTGATCAATATCTCTTTATTTAGATAATTTCTACATAAATATACACACACACGCATATATGTATATATTTATTTTCAGTTACATGGATAGTATTAGTACTGTGTGTGTGTATGCATATAAATATATATATATAATATATATATATATATATATATATATTAGGATATTACATCAAAAACATTTTAAAATCGTTAAATTAAACAGTTGTACCATTTGCTATCTTTTATGTAAAGGAAAACCAAACAAGAAGATAAACATGCTTTCCCATCCTTAAATGGGAAATATTAAAAAATAAAAAATATTGCTCAAGTAATAAAACCATTTCTACCTTGTATATTACTGGCATAACTCTATAGAAATTAGCTATTTGAACAATGATTCCATATCAATGAAATCAACCCATGCAAGTTCAGCTGAAAAATTAAACATTGAAACTTGAAATCCTAACGTTGAATGTACTATTATCTTAGCTACTAGATTAGCAGTATTTTGTGACAGTTGATGGTATATTCCATGGCCATTAGTACACCAGGCTGTTTTTAACTGTTTAGATATAGGAAAAAAAAGAAAGAAGAATTTTGTATTAAAGATTTCACGTGATGAAATAAAAAAAAAAACAGTGGTTTCCCTTTTAGGCGACATGTGCAAGAAAAACATGATATAGAATCAGTTTTGTTATTTCATTTATTTTTTAATTTCTAAGGATACAGTAAACAGTTGTTTGTCGTATATTATAGGATAAATTCATGAAAATTTGCTATAATTTTTTTACCTTGTCTTATCTATATGCAGAAACATACAGAGTATGCGTGTGTGTGTGTATATATATATATATATAGATAGATAGATAGAGAGAGAGAGAAACAAGTGCACAAGCTTTAAAGACACTTTTAAAAATTCTTTAACATGATATAATAATGTTGCATCAGTGATACATCTCTCTCTCTCTCTCTATATATATATATATATATATATATATATATATACATACAGAAATTAAAAGTGTGCTATATTTATGGGATAAAGTGCTCAATATCAGAGATAGAGCATATGTAAATATAAACACAAAAAAGAACATTGAACACTCAGAGGCGACAGGCTGTTTCATGCCAGATGAAATTATCAGGCTGATATAAACTGGTGTGTGTACATTTTTGGGCACCTCAAGCTTGTCTCCCTAGAATGATTACAATTGAGTAGTGAGTTCGATCCTCACTGGGTGTCCCCGCCCTACTTTCAGCCTTGTGCCACATCTATGGTTTGCTTGAAAATCACTATATATATATATATATATATATATATATATATATATATATATATATTTAAATCCTTACTTTTCTGATAGTGCTTAGTGATCCCAGCTCCTGTAAACATAAAGAGATTCAGTACAACAGTTAATGCAAGCACATCTTACCTGTTCATAAAGATCAATTAGTTTTTGGTCAGGTAACTTGAGAGACTGGATAGCCTGCAAGACTGTATCCCAGTGTCCACTGTTAATATCAGCAACAAAGCTGTCGACAGAGTCAACTGTATTTAGAGAGATGCAGCTCTCTTCCTGAAATATATTAACAAGACAAAGATAAAAAAAAAAAAAAAAAAGAGCAAAGGAAAAAAGGGTTTCGCAAAAAATAGGTAGATGCTGAAGGCAATCACATTAAGTAAACATCCAGAAGAAAGTTTTTAATACCTGTCTATATTTCTGAGATGAGTTATTATAACTATTTACATTGTTTGCACTGTTGTCTTCATCTTTGTTGTCATATTCACAATGTTTCGGCCGTTATACCCCAGTAGACAAAATAAAGAGTTTGGTTTGAAATTCCAAACACCTGAAGAAGGCTGAAACGTTGTGATGAGGACAACAGTTTGAACAATGTAAATAAGATAAATAGTTACAATACCTCATCTCTGAAGTATAGACAGATCTTGAAGAAGGTCAGCGCATATGACGACTAAAACATAATGAATATGACATCAAAGACGAGGACAACATTCCAAACAATATAAATAGTGTAAAAAGAAAGTATCTCTCAGAATTTCAAGTCCAATTATTTGGGGAAAGGGAAGTTAGAAAAGTCAAAATGGCAACTATTAGCTTTTAAAGCAAAACTCAGTGAAGAAAGAAAGAAATATTAACAAATTCTTACTTGTTACTGGTATAGTCATGCAGAGGCAATCATTTGTGTAAAATTTGCAACAAAAAAAACACTATATATTGCCTATAAGTAATTCAGAATTTGATAGAAAAATTATTTGGGACTCTTATTGACGGTTTTGGTCCAGTCAGCTTTGAAAGATGGCAACTATTGAAGTATTTAAATAAATACTGCTAAATTACTACTATTTTGGCATTTTATATCTAATATATATGCAAATTTTGACTCCTCTTTAATCAGGTGGTTTCGACTGGAACACATTTCAATAAATTTTCTGTGAAGTTCGTCAGAAGATTACAGTTGAATTCCCCCCGTTTCTCCCCTTCTGCTGAGCTTCACTAAGTGCAAAATATTTAAAAAAATACTCTTAATAACTTTTTTCTATTTATTAGACACTCATTCAAAGTAATGGTTTCAATTTAATTTAATTTGACCTAAGAAGAGATGATCTATGCTGATCCTAAATGTAAAAAAGAAACTAAATTAACAGAGGGGTTTATTTTTTTTTTTATCTTCTCAAGGGCATTAATGCATAACAAATAAAACAGACTTGTCAAAATTTTTCCTCCTCTTTAATCAGGTAATATTTTTTTCTTTACAATTCAATAAATTTTCAAAAAAGACACAAAATGTAAGATTACAGTTGAATTCAAGAAGTGGACTGTTTCTGTAACACTGTCAAAAATTCTGAGCTTTGTTTCTTTGCAAGTATTTTTCAATTCCTGACACACTATTTAAGCAAGATATATTTACATTAAAAGTCAAAAAGAATTTAGGAAAAAAAAAAAAATTTTTAGACAAATTATATTGTCTATGAAATCATCAATTAAGTTCTTATCTTTGTTTTGATCACTAATATTACAAGAAAGAAGGAAGGAAGATCTGTGAAGGAAAAATGAAACTCTTTTAAGAAGGAAAGAAAACCTCCTAAGGAAGGAAGGAAAGTAAGGAAGGAAGGAAAAGGAAGGAAGGGCATTAAGGAAGGAAAAGAAGGAAACAGACCTAAGAAGGAAGGAAATTGAAAGAAGGAAAAGGAAAGAAGGAAGGAAGGAAATTAAGGAAGGAAGGGAAAAGAAACAGGATCACCCAAGAAACATGGAAGGAAAGAATGTCTATGTTTGCAGAAAAAAGGAAGGAAAAAAGAAAACCAAAGAACAAAGGAAGGAAAAATCAAGAAAATTGGAAGGACAAAGATTGCTCAAAAAGAAGGAAGGACAAAAGAAATATATTTAAAAAGATATATTTTCATAAAAGTCAAAAAAGTTAAAGGAAAGAAAAAAAAAAAGATAATTAAGAAGACAACCCTATATTAGGAAGGAAAGAAATTATTCAGGAAAGAAGGAAGACAAGGAAAGAAGGAATCAGGAAAATTAAAGAAGGAAAAGAAAAGAAGAAAGAAAAGAAAAGAAGGAAAGAAAAAAGAAAGAAAAGAAAGAAAGAAAAAAAAAGAAAAAAAGAAAGAAAAGAAAAAAAGAAAGAAAAAGAAAGGAAAGAAAGAAAAGAAAGAAAGAAAGAAAAAGAAAGAAGAAAGAAAGAAAAAAGAAAACTGCTCAAGAAAGGAAAGAAGAAAGAAAAGAAAGAAAAAAGAAAAGAAAGAAGAAAAAGAAGAAAGAATTGAAAAAAAAAAGAAAAAGAAAGAAAAGAAAAGAAAGAAAGAAGAAAGAAAAGAAAGAAATTGAAAAAAAAAAGAAAAAAGAAAAGAAAATAATTTAAAATTCATGAAAATTTCAGATATCCTATTTGAATTTTTTGATGAATCTTAATTCTTCAGTTAATGGTTAAGCTCATGGCAAATTCTAAAATAAAACATCTGTAGAAGTTCCCTCATCATATCGTTAAATATTTGAGCTTAACAATTTTAACAAAATATTGCAATAACAATCAAATATGAATGCTGGTCATTATTTTAAGAAGTGGGTACAAATGAAAAGATGGGAAATTGACAATTTTTTCCATTTCACTGAAACAGACATTAAACACTTCTATTTTCCCATCTTTAATTTACTTTTTTATTTATATTTTTATATATATTTATTTGTAGTAATACTATTAACAGCTGCCCAGATTTCTGAGGTATTGTAACTATTTACACTAGTTTTTGACATTTTATTTCACTCCTTCAAGGAAGGTGTGTAAAATATTTTTCATCTCACTACACCACAGAGGTTCCATTAATGACCATGACTTGTGCAGCAGTTTTTGGCCAAGTACAACATTCCCCAGGTCTGACAACCACTATACTCTCCAAACCTTGCCCCTTGCAACATTTTCCTCTTTCCAAAAATTAAATCCCACTTGAAAGAACAAGATTTCAAGACGTTGAGAAAGTCCAAAAGAACGCAACAAGGCAGCTGCTCGCTATCCCCGAACATGGAGTTCCTACAATGCTTCCATCAATGCAAAACAAAATGGATTGTTAATTTTAACACCTCCAAAACAAAACTGGTCATTTTTAATAATCTTAGAGAACCTTTTTTGCCTTCCATCAGTATGGCTGATGCTAATATCCAAAAAAGTGACTCACTGTGCATTTTCAGGCTAACATCTCTGCTGACACAAAGTAGCAAAATTATATTGAATCAATTTCTAAATCTGTAGCTAGGAAAGATGGCTCCCTGTGTTATGCTTTCTCATCAGAACCTATCATACACTTTTATAAGTCTACTGTCCATCCATGCACTGAATATTGCAGCTACATCTGGTCTGCTGCTTCTGCTATATATTTAGAGATTATTAATGAAATCTAAAGAATCTGCAATATTATTAGTTCTAACCTGGCATCTCAGCTTCACTTTCCCACTGCTGTAACATAACTTCCTGTGCCTTTTCTGTTGAAGTTTCCAATTCCTTCTAAAATTTACTTCAACTCTTTACTTCTTACTTCCCTACCTAAACTCTAATTTTATTTACTATTTTTTTTTTCCTCAATAAAGGTAAATAGGTTCACCTATCATCCAGTTCACACTCCTCCTTGGTCTTTTGAACAGGAGCAGAGGTTTATCCCTTGATTCCAGTTTAAAATTAGGTTTCTAGTTCCTTCTAAAGTCTTCCCATTCTCTTTCACTCCCAACAACCCCTTGCATCTTAGTGTCATCATCGCCTTGTGTGAGGTAGATTAAAAAAAAAACAAACAAACATATTTTCATAGTAATTGTTCTGATGGACTTTCCTCTTCAGTACCTGAACTTTGCAAATTTAAGTGCAGTACTAGGATGTGTAGTACCGGGTTATGGTCAAAGGGTTTTCTCAAAGGCATTTGTATAAAAGTGAATACAACAGACGAGGCCGGAGTTTGAACACAGTTTGCCAATTTCACTTTCAGTATCAATAACTGTTACACTACTCCCACATCCTTATATATATATATATATATATATAGTTGTAGCCTCTGTCTGACTGTTATCAAACTCTTCCTAGGGTTTTGGAGACAGACACCCCCACCACCCATAACCATATATATTCAGAAACTACATTACCCAGGGTATTTTGATAAGTATATTTCATTTTGATCAAAGGGGGGTCCTTAAGTAACACCACCTCCTATCCTCACTGAAATTTTTTTCCCACTTTGATTTAAATCTAAATTTGAACAAAGGAATGACTCCTATCGAAATATAGATGGAAAAAGCCAGAAGATGGAGGTCACATCGGTAAGATCAAAATGCGACAATATGGATGTCAAGTTGAGCAAGAAATCAACTATCAGTGGGTAGTGCATTACAATACATATTTGTTGCAACAATTCAACTGTCATATCAATATTGAAATTTGCTCATCAATTCATTCAATCAAGTATTGCATCAAATACATATCAAAGGGGATCAGATCAAGCTGTTTATACATAACTCCGCACCACCACCATTGAAAATTTTTTTCCCTTTGATTTAATTTAAATCTGAATAAGGGAATGACTTCTATGCAAGATATAGAAGGAGAAAGCCAGAAGATGGAGGTCACATCGACAAGATCATTGAGTAATATTGAAATGCATCATTTTTCTCCACAAATTATAACAATGATTTAAAATCAATCATCATTTTCTTATAAAAGAAATGTGTGACATGCAGCAAAGCACAGGTAATTCGACTAGTTGCTAATAAAATTCAAATAAAATAATAGTTACAATTTAAAGCACTTTAAAAAAATAATCTGCTGCTGTTCTTCTATGTCCCAGGATTCTTGAAGATTATTTTTCATAAACAAGAATTTAATTTCCTGTCTTTCGTAGCTCTTAATTTTATCTTTTTGTTATCTCTCCTAAACCTTGCTCCATTATCCATTTATTTAAATTCACTTGGCATGTTATGCATTCTTTCCCTCTGTTCCTCTTCCTTCAATCTGTCCTGTGAGTATCAAATTTTCCAAGCCCTCTTTCCTCATTATCTGCCCTAGAAATTTCAACTGTCTCTTCCTGATGCTTTCATTTTCCATTTTTTTTCTAAAACTTTGTCAATGTTCTGTCCATGGTATTCTCAGCATCCTTCCATAGAATCACTTTTCTGCTGCTTCAAGTCTCTTCTTCATCTTTGAGGAGATTGTCCAGCATTCATTGCCATATTGGAGGATTGATATTACATAACATTTCAGTACTTTTTTCTTTGTTTCTGTGGCTTCAAGTCTCTTCTTCATCTGTGAGAAGATTGTATAGTATTCACCGTCATATAGAAGAACTGATATTACATAACAGTTCAGTACAAAAGGTTGTTTTTTTTTTGTTTCAAGTCTCTTCTTCATCTTTGAATTTGATTGTCCAGCAATCACTGCCATATAGGAGGATGATATTAAATAAAAGTTCATTTTAATTTTCTTTTGTTTCTGTGGCTTCCAAGATCTCTTCTTTATCTGTGAGAAGAAAATGTATAGCATTTCACTTTATATATGGATGACTGATATTATGTAACAGTTCAGTAAATTTTTCTTTGTTGTTTCAATATTCCTTTTTTTCTGTGAGGAAATTGTCCAGATTGATCACTACCATATAGTTGGGACTGATATAATAAACAAAAGATTCAATTGTCTATTTAAATTTCATTAAACAACGAACCAGATGTACAAGATAATCTTACATCAAAATATCAAAAAAAAACTTCAACAATATTTTTTTTTTTCTAACCTCATATTCAAGCCCACCAAACAGTTTAAAAAAATAAAATATATTTCAGATTTTGTGACCAATAAGAAATTAAATGTAAAGTGAAAGTAAATAATTAAAATAAGAGTCGGGACTTACTTCTTTTGTGGTGAAAGTTTTGTTATTAGCAAACAAAAATGTGTCCAAACAGCAATATAATTTTATTTCATCTATTCATAATGTGGGGTGGTGGGGTGCTTCAACCTCTAGTTTCAATTTTGTAAGTTCAAAATTACATGGTCATAATTTAAGTAATACCCCCATTCCTAAATTCTCTATTTATTTTTAATTATTCGGCATCTGAGTTATTTTCCCCAAAAAAGTAAATACCGAGATTAAATTTTTTTTCCAATATTGTTTTTCTAAAATTTAATTTTAAACAATATCAAATGCGATAGCGAGTTCCTGAGGCACTTTTAGGAAAGGCCGACCTTGTTTTTTTTATTTTATTTTCATTTTAAAAACTCTTTCTATTGGTTAAGCTGAATTAAAAATTATATATCTAATTTATTTATTACTTAAATGAGTATTACAAATATCATTCAAAGCAATTTTACAAATTCTCAAATTAAAAGTGTATAATAATGAGGTGAGGTAAAAAAAATGGTTATTATTTGGTTTGTGAAAATCGTTTCGGTCGATGTCTGGATAAATAAACAAGTTAATTTTATCTCGAAATAAAAAGTACTTTTAACTTAAGGTTCCGAAAGACAAAATATTAAAAATGTAATAACAAACAAAAAAGAACCACAAAATTTTTTAAAATTGAATTTTTAAAAATAAATATAATTTTTTAAATAAATATATTTCGTTTCATCTGTTTAAAATTAAACCTACACGTCTGA